TCGCTGGCACATCCCCATAGTTGAATCCCGTATGTCCATATTTATATATGATTTCCTCCCCAACAGCCAATACATTTTTTTATCTCTTATATCTTCCAGCGAAGTTTTACATACATGGTTAATCCCAGATATTTTGCTTGGTATCTGTTTATCATCTATTCTGATTGGTACATACTGCTCCCTTTTCTTTGTAAAACTAACATGTACCGATTTATTCTTATTTATTATAATTTTATTAATTGATGTCTGTAGTCTATTTGCTGCTTCTTCATGATTATTGCCTATGGCCAGGATGGCCGTGTCATCAGCAAAAGTAGCAATAGTATCGTTTTCTAATTTAGGAATTTATTTCTTTTAAATCTAAACAAGCATCTTCTTGCTTTATTCTAAAGGCCCGTTCTGATATACAGGATGTTTCATGAGGACTGGTACATACGTTAATATGTTATAGATTTGTTCATTTTAAGTAGAAAAGTTCCTAAAAGAAAGTGCTCAACTCTCAAAGGTAACTGAGATACCGCCAGTTAATGCATAAATTGATATCACGGCTGTTTTGAAACAGTCATTTGTCAATGTTTGACATTTCACATTATTTGGTTGACGTGTCGACTAAGTTGTGGATTGACTCATGCAGAATATGCTGATATGATGTTTTGTTACGGTTTCTGCAATTAAACATTCAACAGATTGCATGAAACCGTATGAAACCATTCTGTTCCAAGCACAAGTATTCGTTCTCAACGTGCAGGTGTGTAAACTCTGAATGAAGTTGAACAAATTCTTCAGTCGGTAGGATGCAGTCCATCTACCAGTACAAGAAGATTTTCTGCTCGTCTTGGTGTTCCTCATGTAAAAGTATGGAGAATATCGCGTACTCATGGCTTGTATCCATTCATGGATATGCAACTCATGTTCAACCAGTACAACACCTTGAACCAACAGACATTGCCAGGAGATTAGAATTTTGTGAATGGGTAATATCTAACCGCCGCTTGATTTCTGTGATACTTTTTACCGATGAAGCCATTTTCACCCGTAATGGAATCAATAACAGTCGAAATGATCACCAGGGTTGAAACAAATTTTCAAGTAAAATTCTCTGTGATTGCATATGGTGGAATGATTGACAATAACTTAATTGGGCCTTTCGTACTACCCGAGCGTCTAACAGCGGACAGATATTTAGAGTTCTTGCGCAATGAGCTTCCAATACTGTTAGAAGATATTCCTTTGGCCACCAGAGCCAATATGTTCTTCCAACATGATGGGGCCCCTGCTCACTACGGCCGTCAAGTGACGCAATACCTAAACCAAACCTTTGCGGAACGGTGGATTGGTCGATCACTTGGCCAACTCGGTCAACGGACCTTAATCCATTAGATTACGGAATGTGGGGAGAGCTGAAAAGCGATGTTTAGCAAGTTAAAGTAAACACGCGTGATAAGCTAATCGTTCGTATTATGACCAGTGCTGCACGAATCAAGGCACATCAGGATAAATTATGCAGCACAGTGCGTGATATTTTCAAGAGATCAGCCAAGTGCATCGACTTATATCGAGGGATATTCGAACACTTCCTTTAAAGTCCGAATTATTAATGCATTAACTGGTTGTATCTGAGTTACCTTTGAGAATAGAGCACATCTTTTTAGGATCATGCCAAACTTTATCAAATGCCTGAGCCACATCCAAGAAGACAGTCAGTTATATGTTTATGGTGGAGGTTTTAAATGTGTTTACTAGGTGTTCTGCAAATCTATTTAGTTTTTGCTCATTATTTCTAGCCCAGCTTCCATCTTTATTACTAATTGGTAGATTTTGAGTGATTAGTCTCTTCAGACTTTTGGTCGCTTTCCATAACGAGTAATTCACAGATTATCAATTAATTTAGGTACCCGTTTAGAGCATTATTCTTCAAATTCTTTATAACCCATTTCAGCCTTTGGGTGGCATTATTCAGTCTAGTTTTATCTTCTGGAGCTCTAGTTTTCTTTAAGGTAGTTGATGCTGTTTGTTCTTGCGTTTAATTTAGGGATACTGTCCCATGCTGCCTGTTGGATACAGTTAACCAGTAGTTCGATATCCTTATCAAGCTGTTCTTTGGATTTAAGTCTAACTGCGAGGTTAATTTAGTTTTCTAGAATGATTTGGAAACTTGTGTAGTTACTTGCATGTAGTTACTGATATATTCCTGGTTATGAAAAAGTCAATCAGATATGGGATTTTGTTCGTATCGGTAGGCCAATACGTTGGATTGCCTGTACATAAAATTTCACAATTCAATTGCTTGATTGCGTTGAAGAGTTCTCTTCCTTTAGCTGTGATAATCCTTGATCTCCAGTGGGTGTGCTTGGAATTGAGGTCTCCTCCTATGATGAACCTATAGCCTTGTAATTCTAGAAACTCTATGTAATGTTCTTTTTTGATAGTATGTCTGGGTGGGCAACAAATAGCTGTGAAAATTAGCTCATCCTTATCCTGTATTTCATCTCCTAGTAATATTGTCTTTTATTATAACTGCACTGCCTCGAGCATGCCTGCCTGACGAGGCATATGTCGATTTTTTCCATTTCTAATACGGCTTGAAGTTCTTGTTGATACCGCCATTGGAACTTCCTAGGTATTCCTCTCTTCCTTTGTTCATAGGGCACTAATTTTAATGCTATATTTCAAAGTCTTCCCTTTGACATTCGTCGTATACGGTCGTACCATATCAGCTGTTTTTTCGTGATGTCTTATAATTGTTTCTTTGACATTTGCAACACGTTCTCTTTACTTTTTACAATAGTATTATATATATTTAGTTTCCTTTTTCTCGAACGTTCGTTGTGTCCCTTTATAGCTCGCCTTCCCTGTCTTTTATTTGTAATGAATCCTTTCCTTCGCTGTTTAATTCTATTCCAAGATATTTATCACATTTCTCAATTTTTTCATTATAGGATATCTTTTATCGGATGTTGTTATTAAAGCAGGATATTGACAGGGCAAAAGTACTATATGAAAAAGAGAAGAAATCACCTCTAAACCTGACATTAATCCGTGTTTATATCTGATATCTTAGATTGCAGCAAAGTTCAAAGATTATAAAATTAATATGTAAAGGGGTTTTCATCCATATTGGTGTTTTAATTTAATTACAAATTAGTTAACATAAAATATACGAGCCTGGTTCAAACTGGAAAACAACATAAATCTTCAAATTTATTACCGAATGAAATTCCTAACCTATATTTGACAAGACTCCTGATGATGGCTTAAGCCGAAACCGGTAGAGTCAACGATAAATAATATATTGAAGTATTAAATACAGTTTTATTTTTCAAACATTATAAAATTAGATATGATTTTAATGGCATTATGGAGAATTCATGGAGATATTCGTATTAATTTCGATTGTCTCGGAGATAATTTAATATAAAAATGTTGAGTGAAATTATGCGAATGAAAAGTAACTTTAACAGCGAAACTTTTTTAAACCCTCATAATCTTTAAAAACTAATAAAAAAATTGAAAATATTACTTTTGTTTCGTTTATTTTCAACAGTTCTATTTAGGGATAAATTAATGTGAATTTGCCCTTGGGAAAGCGGTTATTAAAGCGACGGTTAAAGTGCGGTTTGAACCGTTTTTATTAGCCTAGCTTTGCGGTATCCACGAACTGCGCCCATAACTTTTATGGGGTATAAATGACTGCCGTTACTGTCAGGTTCTGAAGGTGTACTCGAGCTTATTTATTAATCAAAACCGTCGGAGATTTCGAAATCTCTGATCGCGAACCTTTGTGGGTTCTTAAATATTTCACCTTAAATAGCCGTCTGGTGAAAGGGAATAGAAGAAGTTCTCGATTTTCATTTAGTGCTTGAAAGAGGTATATACAAAGTTTCAGTGAAAATATAAAGCGAGAGGAGCTTTAATACGGAAACATTTTGTTTGGATAATTACTAGAAAATCAAATAAATAAATATACGTATGTAATAAAATGTAAATGTATAAAGAAGCTTGAAGAGATAAAAGAGAAAATTTCATTTTCTCCAACGTAATTGGTAGAAGAGCATCAAACGTAGTAAAAGTGCGAATAATCAGGTATATTTTCGGGGGTAATAGGTTGGCGGGAGAATGAGTAATTACAAGGAGCAATTTATTCAGCATTTTGGATAAGTATCGTGCCACTCCAATCCCGCCTATTTCACAAAAGATATCAAAGAGGCAAATCGCACAAAGAGGTCTGTCACTTCCGTTTTCGCGAAAAACGGGCACTATCAACGAAGACAGGGAATAGACACAACAAAGGGGGTACATTATATTTTCATTCGGGGGTATACAGAGTAGATAAAGAAGGCGACGAGCTGAAAGTCTCACTATTGGAAACGATGTAATTATTTTGTTGATAAATAATAACGTCGGGAAGTGTCAGTATAAAAAATAACCGGCATTTCTCGGCGGAGTGTTCAATAAATAAATCATTTGGGGTTGTTTGCCGATGTCCAGGGAAAAATCCTCTATCGTTCTCGTTCTCGTAGTTCGATATGTCAAGACTGACAAAGAAATTATGTGAGGGTTATTTTTTTTGTATTTCGAAACATTCGTTCTCGAATACTTTTGTCTATATACGAATGAATCTCAATCAAAATATTTAATGACAAGGCCACAAGAATAAAGTATCCTGTCAAAAATACATAACTTTGCGAAACGGTATTGATGGTAATTACAACGGAATAAATGTCAGTACGCTCGTAACCTGATAATGAAGCGGGAGTAAAAGCGACAGATCCCGTCACAACAATTTCCCTTCGTGCAATTTTAAATAACGCGTTTCCAAACTATTACTGAACGTCGAACGTTGGATGGTAAACGTTTTTGACCGGCTAAGATAAATCACCGGAGACAATGGGTCGTCGAGTGCCGTTTGTAACGCGGCCTAGTTTAGAGGTTGATGAACAAAGTTTTCAATAACAATCGCAAAGTTGATTAAGCCTTGGACGAAAGGGTTGGCCGCTTACCGTAAACTCGCTTGTCGTAAGACTCAGCCAAGGCGATGGAGAACGTTAAACATACTAAGTACCACATATCTTTAAAGTTAATCGCAAACACTCGCTCAGAGCTTTGAAGCTTTTATTAAATCACATCTTCAATAAAAGTGTACTGAAACCCTTTGCATAAAGCACTATACGTAAAGCAAAACTGAACTGATTTATATCGCGTTTCAGTTTTCCCGCTCTATTTGCAGCTGGAACCGCGTGATACACAACTGACGTTTGCCAACAATGTGCCGGAGTTGAGCTCGTGCGAACATCGCGTGGAGACCGCTGGAACTAAATCAAATTCTCTGAGCCTCTAGCAGCCCCCCAATGCTACCCCTACTATAGTAGGGCAGCGTTTGCGCCATGATGGCGCATCTCGCGCACCCACCTCTAAAAGGACGGAGGTTTTCAAATTCCGATCTTACGGCATCACCACGTTTCATAAGTAACAATGCCTCTTACGTCCTGTCGCTCTTTACTTTACCTGCCACCCTTTCTCAGCGCGACGTATTGATTAAAAGCCAGTTTTTCCGCATTTTTACTTTTTAAATCCCCCTCGATATAGATCCCGCCTGCGTTCCGACTACGTTTACCGAGATTACAACCTCCTGTGAGACTGATCATCTTTCACGACGAAATTGACTCTTCCTCACTTTGTTTCCTTCTTCTTTGGCACCCCGTCTGTCACTTGTTCCCCTTAAGCGTCATTTAAAAATCAATATCCTTGTTCTTTGTATTATCCGACTATCCGTTTTAGTAAAATCCCCTCTGCTTTTATGTTACCCTTTAAACTCAATAATGTGAAAAAAGTCAGACCACTGAAAATCGCTGAAAAATTCTCTCCGCTCAACTGTGAAATAAACCGGGAGAAATTAATTCTTTAATTATAAGTAATTCACTCAAATTAATAAAATCACCGAGCTACGTTAAATGCCTCATATCCGTATTTAATTAATTAAACGGCACTTGATAATATGAAAAGCCTACTCCCTTAAATTCCTTTAGAAAGGGCGGGTCCATGCAAAAAAGAAGTAGTCTTGAGCGAATACATTTAATTACTCTTCCATAAGTTACGAGAGGTAATTTTAAGGAAAGTCGGCGGCTGAGTTTATTAAAATTTTAAACTCAATTACCACACGAATGGATACCTCGAATAAGAAAGCCGGAAAGAACGACGCCGAAGAGGGCGAAAGAAAGAAGGAGAATATGTCAATGAGGAAATGGTAACTATCGGAGGATTCAAAAAGCTGAGTAGCCGCGTGCTCATTTATCTCGATGCGAACTGTTGTGGCAATTAAACCCGTAGTAAAACACCAGCACCATTTTGTAGATAATTACTTTTTACACGTGGCCTTTTAAATGAAATTCTTCCACGATAGGCGAATAATTGATCGTCCAAGCATCTCGAAATTCGTCGCGAGCTGTACGGTTTAGTTTCAATTTACAGGTGACGGGGTCTGTCCCGTGCTGTTTTCGCTGGTTGTCATGCCGAGGATTGTACGGTGCAACCCCCAGAGGGTCGACGTTCAACCTTTTCCCGAGGTTTTGCTTGCGACGCCTCCGCTGAATACTAATACCGTAAATTTTTCAAAACGTCATCTTCCGAAAACAAACAATCCGATTATCGGAATAAAGTTACCCACGGCGCGAGCGCGCCCACTGCAACTCAACCCGGCTCCTGCAAAACTCCCCGCGCAATTATTGTGCGGAATTCCATCGAAATACCGGTTCCACATGCACGACTCTTCAGCAGTCTGCAAATATGTGCGCTCGAACGTGGCCCCAAACTTTGCCTCCTTCAAACAGCGCATTATTTACCTTCATTCCGCCGAATAATTCCTACCTACACACTGTTTAATGAAACGGTGCCTTTTTCACAGATTAAATGATAAATCTCACGAATCAATAAATCAGTATGACTAACTTTTAATATAAAAATATCATGGCTAATACCAAAAATAGAAAAAGTATAAAAAGTGAAACCATAACAACTAAAATTAGAACTAACACTAGCACTCTCACTACAACTAGAAACAATCGGATTTAGCAGTGCGTCTCTCAAGATGGCTAAACCCAAATCTTTCTAGTTCTAACATTAGGCCTAGAACTAGAAACATTTGGGTCTCTCAAGACGGCTAAACCCGAATATTTCTAATTCTCTATCTAGTACTAGAACTAGAAACATTTGGATTTAGCCATACGTCTCTCAAGATACCTATGCGAAGTTAGCCCCCAATTTTTGTAGCCCCCAATTAGATAGGATTATTCTAACTTAATATAAAAATATCATGCCTAATACCAAAAATAGAAAAGGCATAAAGAGTGAAACCATAACAACTAAAATTAGAACTAACACTAGCACTCTCACTATAACTAGAAACAAACGGGTTTAGCAGTGCGTCTCTCAAGATGGCTAAACCCAAATCTTTCTAGTTCTAACATTAGGCCTAGAACTAGAAACATTTGGGTCTCTCAAGATGGCTAAACCCGAATATTTCTAGTTCTCTATCTAGTGTTAGAACTAGAAACATTTGGATTTAATCATACGTCTCTGAAGATACCTATGCGAAGTTAGCCCCCAATTAGATACGATTTTACATAAAATGTCATTTCTACTCTTAAGAATACTTCCAGTAAAGATATTTATGGTTTAAATCCGAATATCATAAAAGTTATTCAAAACTTAATTATTATTCCCTTAGCTAAGCTAATTAATCAATGTATTGTTGTTCATATTTTCCCAGATTGCTTAAAAATAAGTAAAGTGGTTTAGTTAATGTTATTTCCAGGTTCATCGTGTAATTTGTAATCAAAATCTTGAATTTAATATCTTCAGGAAAGACACATTTACGGACAATGTCATTGCCAACAATTCATATAATCCTAGACAGCATAAACATGCCAGTTTTCGATTCATGTTTAACAGAATTTATAACATCCCTTTGAACCAAAATAATCTACAGGTAGAAATCAAGAAGATAATTACTATTGGTATTAATAATAACTACTCTATAAACATTTTACAAAAAATCTATAATAAGGTCCATAGTTCTAGAATTAACAACTTCATTTATCCTAATATAAAAAACATCTCAAAATTCCTAATACTTTCATTTCACCCTATTTTAGAAAATAAACTGAATCACAATTTACAAAAATTTAATTTATCCCCTGCTTTTGTATCTCATAACAAAATTAGCAATTTTTTAATTAATAATAAAGCCAAACATAGAAAAGAGGAATTAAGTGGTGTTTATAAGATCGAATGTCCGGAATGCAATAAAATATATATCGGCCAAACGGGAAGAAATATATACACTCGGTTCAAAGAACATTTGTCCAGTTCAAGATCAGCCGTTCATAAACACATACAAGAACAAAAACACAGAATACAATTTCAAAATGTCAAACTGATTATAAATCTAAAGAAGTCAAACGAATTGAACCTTTACGAGGAATATAATATAGGTCTACACAAAAAAGAGAATATACTTATGAACGACATTGCTGACTTCGATACTAACAGATGTTTCCACGATTTTCTTTAGATACACTTTATATACTTTGTTATATGCATTTTGTTATGCATACCATTTCCATTTGAATTTCTTGTTGCTGCCTGTCCTGTTTTCTCTTCCCACAAACGCGCATGCGATTGTAAATCTCGTCAAAACCAGAAAATTCCATCTACAATCAGTCCTTTCTTGTCAATCATACACCTACCCTGCCATCAATTTCCATACGATTAAACTAAAGAATTTTTAATTTTAACTCCGTCTAATGCGTATTTTTTAAAATATAGTTTTAGTGATAGTTTTATTTAGTTTGACGCTAAGTAAGTTGTCTTTTCCAGAATATTAACCTGTTTTACTTTCTAATATTAAGCCATTTGTTTTAACGTTTTTAGTTTTAACCGTACAAATTTTACTGTCAAATATTTCAACCTGATGATTTGTTCTTCAATCGACAACTCTTGACGGTAAATTTAATTTTAATTTGTTTGTTTTTTGTAATTAGCTGATATAATGAAACTTATTTTTACTTTGTCTCTAGTCGTGCCAGATAAAGATCGCATAGTTCGATCGAAACACGTGTAGCACCGAAAATAAAAATTAAATATATTTTTTCATCGTCTCTGAGATTTCTTATTTTTTAAGTAAAGTGGTGCCTGTTTTCAAAAAGGGTTCAATTAATGAGATCTCAAATTACAGACCAATTTCAATTACACCTGTTTTGGGTAAAATTTTCGAAATAGTTTTATATAACCAGTTAATTGCGTATCTTGAATCCAATAACCTCCTAAACGAGTCACAGTTTGGTTTCAGGAAAAATAAATCAACTACGTCAGCAATTTGCAAATTAGTTTCATATGTTAATGAATGTTTTGAGACCAAAAATTATGCACAGGCATCCTTTTATGATCTTACGAAAGCATTCGACTGCGTATCTCATAACCAATTGTTAATTAAATTACAAAATTTTGGCTTTGATGCTGGTTCTGTTATGCTAGTTAAAGCTTATTTATCAAATCGATTGCAACAAGTAATTTATAAAAATAGACTATCTTCAAAATTATCTATTAAGTATGGAGTACTTCAAGGATCTGTGCTGGGCTCCATACTTTTTTTATTATTTATTAATGACTTGGCTGATAACGTTCCTGCGTCAAATAACATTATGTTATTTGCTGATGGCACAACCACTGTTAATATAAGTGATAATTTGCCAGATCTTTTTAGTGAGGTGGATTTCGGGGTTGCATTTTTGACTGGTTTTCAGCTAATCAGCTTAGCGTAAATGAATCTAAGACTCAGCATAATGTTGATAACCCTACAGTCAAATATCTAGGAGTTCATTTAGATCGTAAACTTACATGGGAAGAGCATGCAATACGAACTACTAGTAAATTAAACAAAATTATTTACTGTACCAGAAATTTAATTGATATCGTTCCAGTAAATACAGTAATGACAGCATACTATGGATATTTTTATGCTCACTTATCATATGCCATTCTCGCTTGGGGTCATTCTGCACATGCTGCTATCCGAGTGATTTCGAATTTAAAATTCTCGGAGTGTTGTAGAACAAAATTTGTAGAGTTAAAAATCTTAACTCTACCTTGTATTTATACATTTACCTGCCTCTTATACATCAAAAAAAAAATTCAGAATTTCAAAAGACATGATGAGGTCCATCATTATGGAACCAGACACCATGATAACCTCGTAATTGATTATACTCACTAATTATTATGGA